TAGGGATCAAACCCTAACAAAACTAACTTGGTTACATGATAAATCTCATCCAACCCATCACCGTCCAGCAAGCCTACGATGGAATTACTCACGCACGGCGGTGAGCATCATGAAATTGGTGATGAGGGATGGTTGATGATGACGACAGCGACGGATTCCCCTCTCCGGAGCCCCGAACGGACTCCAGATCAGCCCTCCCGAGAGGTTTTAGGGCTTGGCAGCGGCTCCGTATTGTAAAACGCGATGAATCCTTCTCTCTTATTTTTTTCTCCCTGAAAGTGAATATATAGAGTTGGAGTCGAGGTCGGAGGAGCTTCAGGGGGTCCACGAGGTAGGGGGCGCGCCCCCCACCCTCGTGGCTAGGGTGTGGGCCCCCTGGTCTTCATCTTTTGCAAGGATTTTTTATTATTTCCAAAAAGACGTTCTATGAAGTTTCAGGTCATTCCGAGAACTTTTTTTCTACACATAAATAACACCATGGCAATTCTGCTGAAAACAGCGTCAGTTCGGGTTAGTTCCATTCAAATCATGCAAGTTAGAGTCCAAAACAAGGGCAAAAGTGTTTGGAAAAGTAGATACGACAGAGACGTATCAACTCCCCCAAGCTTAAACTCAAGCTTAAACTTTTACAAACTCGGTTTGCTCTTATTGTTGCAAATATGTAAAGCCAACATTCAAGTTTTCAGCAAAGATTATGAACTAACCATATTCACAATAACGCTCAGGTCTCATGTTTACTCATATCAATGGCATAATCAACTAGCAAGCAATAATAATAAAACTCGGATGACAACACTTTCTCAAAACAGTCATAATATGATATAACAAGATGGTATCTCGCTAGCCCTTTCTGAGACCGCAAAACATAAATGCAGAGCACTTTTAAAGATCAAGGACTAACTAGACATTGTACTTCATGGTAAAAGAGATCCAGTCAAGTCATACTCAATGTAAACTAAGCAGTAATGAATGCAAATGACAGAGGTGCTATCCAACGGGTGCTTTTTAATAAGAGGAGGATGACTCAACATAAAAGTAAATAGATAGGCCCTTCGCAGAGGGAAGCAGGGATTTGTAGAGGTGCGAGAGCTCGGTTTTGAAATAAAGATGAATAATATTTTGAGCGATATACTTTCATTATCAACATAACAACCAAGAGATGGAGATATCTTCCATGCTACACACATTATAGGCGGTTCCCAAGCAGAATGGTAAATTTTATACTCCCCCTCCACCAACAAGCATCAATCCATGGCTTTCTCAAAACAACGAGTGCCTCCAACTAGCAACAGTCCCAGGGGGAGTTTTGTTTGCAATTATTTTGATTTAGTTTGCATAAAGCATGGGACTGGGCATCCCGGTGACCAGCCATTTTCTCGTGAATCAGGAGCGGAGTCCACTCCTCTTGAGAATAACCCGCCTAGCATGGAAGATACGGACAGCCCTACTTGATACATGAGCTATTCGAGCATACAAAACAGAATGTTTATTTGAAGGTTTAGAGGTTGGCACATACAAATTTACTTGGAACGGCAGGTAGATACCGCATATTGGAAGGTATAGTGGACTCATATGGCGTAACTTTGGGGTTTATGGAATTGGATGCACAAGCAGTATTCCCTCTTAGTACAGGTGAAGGCTATCAAAAGACTGGGAAGGGACCAACTAGAGAGCGACAACATCCATGAACATGCATTGAAGTCAATGAATATTGAGTGCAAGCATGAGTAGGATATAATCCACCATGAGCATAAATATCGTGAAGGCTATGTTGATTTTGTTTCAACTACATGCGTGAACATGTGCCAAGTCAAGTCACTTAAATCATTCAAAAGAGGATACCACCCCATCATACCACATCACAACTATTTTAATAGCACGTTGGCACGCAAAGGTAAACCATTATAAGCTCCTAGCAAATTAAGCATGGCATAAGCAACTATAATCTCTAATTGTCATTGCAAACATGTTTATTCATAATAGGCTGAATCAGGAATGATGAACTAATCATATTTACAAAAACAAGAGAGGTCGAGTTCATACCAGCTTCTCTCATCTCAGTCAGTCCATCATATATCGTCATAATTGCCTTTCACTTGCACGACCGAATGAGGTGAATAATGATAATAGTGCACGTGCATTGGACTAAGCTGGAATCTGCAAGCATTCAATAAACAGGAGAAGACAAGGCAATATGGGCTCTTTTGTCAGGTCAACAATAATACGTATAAGATCCACTTCAACAATTTAATCATGGTCTTCTCCTATCGACGCCCAAAGAAAAGAAAAGAAATAAAACTATTTACACGGGAAAGCTCCCAACAAGCAAAAAAAGAACATGAAATCTTTTTGGGTTTTCTTTTTAATTACTACTACAAGCATGGAAATTAAACTGATTAAAGGCTACAACTAAATTTTTTTAAGGTTTATCAAACACACAAGAAGAAAATAAGAAAAAGAAAATAAACTAGCATGGATGATACAATGAAAAAGTATGAGCACTGACATCTAGCAATGAGTGTGTGAACATGAACATGATATCGGTGAGAAATACGTACTCCCCCAAGCTTAGGTTTTTGGCCTAAGTTGGTCTATGGCCACGGCTGGCCTGGCGGATATCCAAAATAATAGTTGGGGTCGTACTGTGATGCAGCAGTCATTGCATCATGAGCTGCAGCTTGGAGGCGAGCTATCTCAGCCCTCCTCTTATATTCTTCCGCCTCCTGTCTGGTTATAAAATATCTCCCTTTTGCCTGAAAGTTGAAGAAAGTAGAAGCAGGGAGAGCGACGTGATAGGTGCGCTGTCTGTTAAAGATTAGTCAGTACTGGAGGAACTGGTCGTTCCTCTCAACAAACTGATGACGAACCATAGCCTCATAATCCAAATAAGCAGGAGGCAACTCAATATCATCTTCATGTATGGTTATACCAAGGAAATTAGCTATGCGGGTTGCATAAATTCCACCAAAGAAATCTCCATTAAATCTATTAAGATACAACCTACATGCAACAATGGCCAGTGGTAAAATCCTCTAAGTCCATCGTATAAGATTTTTCATAAAGATCAAACAGGACAGTTTGAGAATTACGTGAAGATGAAAATTCAAACCTCCTCACAAAGAAACTAGTGAGATAGTGGTACTGGTGGCACTTTTCTGCCTCGAAGCTCACAAGATCAGCAGTACACAAATATGCGTTAAATTCTTCCTTAATTTCTGCTTGATCCATGAAGTCCTCTGAAGGCCATTCACAAGGCCGCACTGGAGCGTCCCTTGGGGGCTCATCATCAGCATCACGCATTGCAAGCCTGGGCTCTTGTTTCCTTGAAGAACCACCTTGATACATTTTCCTAAACATATTTCTTCCTCTGAAAAATTTCTAAATTTTTTAGTAACTTCAAAATAAAAGTAAACCAAACTTAACAAAATGATAGCAACTACTCCTACAAGTGCCTAGAGCCTATATGATGCATCAAAACTACTTTTGACCATATAAGTTTGACATGCAAGCTCAAGAACAGGGTCACCTAAGTAGCAAAAATATGCAATGAATAAAGCACTAGAACAAAAACTAATTGGACCAATGGAGGAGTCACATACCAAGGAACAATCCCCCCAAGCAGTTTTATGAGAGGTGCTTTGAGCAAGGAGATCGAGAATCGCAGCAAAATGAGCTAGGACTCATGCTTGAGCTGGATATTCGTATTTGTGGGAGGAAGAATGAGTGTGTGGGTGCAGGAATAAGTGGAGGGGGGCCACCATGGGCCCACGAGGCAGGGGGTGCACCCTTCACCCTCGTGGCCAGGTGGATGCCGGGGTCTCTCAATTATATTAATGTTTTGTAGCGATCTCATCTATTTGCTCAGTTAGCTAGTGGCAAAGCTCGGCTTGCAACTATACCGTCAATGGCGATGACTATACCATGGGGTACTATCTTGCGGACAATATTTATCCTTCATGGTCAACATTCATGAAGACCATTAGTGACCCCAAAATCAGGAAGCACATTTTTTTTGCTGAAGCAGAAGAAGCTTGCCGAAAGGATATTGAGAGGACATTTGGTGCGTTGCAAGCTCGGTTTGCCATTGTTCGAGGTCTTGCTCGCTTCTGGGATAAAAAATCCCTTGGAAATATCATGACTGCTTGTGTAATTTTACACAATATGATCATTGAGGGTGAGAGGGATTTGGACTTGGAGTACAACTGTGACAATGTTGATAGCCGTGTGAAGCCTGACAGGGACGCGGATGCAAGGTTGTTAAAATCGTGATTCTGTTGTATGTTCTACGACTTTACGATCCAAATTAACCTCATTGATCCTACGATGCAAGGTTGTATGTTCTACGATTCTGATAGTGAAGATTCTTCGATTTGCGATCCTACCATCGGAGCTCCGATCCGATTCAGAATCACGATTCTAACAACCTCGCGTGGATGAGATCACTTCATTTCTTGAGACCTACCGAAATATCGAGAACCATAATTCACACAACCAACTCCAGCATGATCTTATTGAGCGTTGGTGGCAACTCTATGGGGGGAGATAGATACCTATTTTTATTCATTTCTATTCGTGTGAGATTTGAACAATTTAGTGTTGTAATAATTATTTGAATTTGAATATTTGTTGTAATGAAAACTATAGTTGTATTGTGAATTGCTTTTCGGACCATTTATATATTTGTATGTTGAATTTATATTACGATTCAATTTGGTTCATATTATTGAAATGTGTAATTTGCTTGATGCTGTGCAAAATTTATGTTCTGCTGGACGGGTTTATAGAATTTGTTCAGCCGGAGCGCTCACGGCACCGTAAGATGCTCTGATAAAGCTAAGCTATAGTAAAGAGTAAGACTGCGAATACACATATGGAATTGTAGGAACTGAAAATTATCTGCCAAAGCCTATATTGGTTTTGTTATTATTGTTCTCTTACAGCAATTATTATTACAATTCCTCGTAGTCGAAACTTTTGAAGAAAAAGGAAAACAGAAGCATCTATGAGGTAACACGAATCAAGGCGACGGCGAGCTTTGCGAGCTGGAAAGCGTTGTCGTTCTCCACTGTCACCGGCGACGCCACGTTGCTCTTGCTGAAGCCACCCTGGCACTCCTTCGCTGCGGCCGCCGATTTCTCCAGGGACGAGGTCGCCTCGCTGAACTTCCCGTCCTTGACGGCCGCCGCACAGCCAGGCTGGCTCTGCAATATGCCGTCAAAAAGAGCCAGGCACGACCTGAGGGACCGCCTGGTGGCGTCCTCAGTCTTGCGGTCGCCATCGCCGAGAAGGCCATCAATCTTGGCCTTGGTACGGGTGGCGTTGGCCGTGAGGAGGTCGACTGTGACGACCGCAAGCTCTTGGTAGTTTCCACCGTTTGCGCTACGGGGGTCGGAGTGGAGGGTGTCCAGACAGAACTGGATGCCCACGTATTTACTGCCGCCGCCGACGGTCTTGCATACGGGGAGCAAATTGTCAACAGGAGTAGCCTGAGTGGCCGCAAAGAGGACGACAAAGAGCAAGAAGAGGACACTGCCGCTATTGAAGAAAGAGGCCATTGCCTGTATGCTTGATTATTCGAGAGGGATTCTTCTATGGTGGATTCGTAGGGTGACACCTAGGACGTCAGGCAACACGATTATTTATAATACACACTTTGGGTTGCCATTAATCACGCCCGGCAAGTTAATGATTTGATGGCGTGAATCTCTGATTGTAAAATTCAGAATTTCCATTTCTTCCGTTACTAATATACCCGACGAGTTAATAATTTGATAGCGTGAATCTGTGATCGTAATTCAGAATTTCCATTCCTTCCGCTACTTGATAAACGTGCATGAATGGCCTGATTATTAACCAAGGAAATCCCCTTTTCCTCGCTACAAAAGGGAACCGTTTGGCTAGCGTCACCACTACAGTACATATATACTCCCTCCATTTCAGAATCGCACCTTGATCGGGTCCAACCTGTTAAGGTTCTTTTGTTTTAAGTGAGACGCACCATCATTGATTTGTTTCCTAATATACTTGCATGTAAAAATATCGATGTTTGAGATAGCATCAATCATTTTAATTTTTCAAATTTGGTATGTCTCCATTTTATTCCTTTCTATAAATATACTAGTAGAATGCCTGTGCCCGTGCCCGTGCGTCATGCAGATGGTGCTCAGCGGCTGTGGGATCCGCGGCGTGCTCTCGCTGGTGCTGGGGCGGCTGTCTGTCCTCACAGTGCTTGATCTGTCCAGCAACGCGTTCGCCGGGGAGATCCTAAGGAGATTGTCGTGCTATCGAGGCTGGCGCAGCTGAGCCTGACGAACAACCTGCTCGAGGGCGCGATCCCCGCCGGCATCGGGCTCCTCCGGGAGCTCTACTACCTCGACCTCAGCACAACCAGCTCTTCGGCGGCATCCCGGAGACGCTGTTCTGCAACTGCTCCGCCCTGCAGTACATGGACCTCGCCAACAACTCGCTCGTCGCCGAGTGCCGCCTCCCCAGCCTCCGTTATCTCCTCCTATGGTCTAATGAGCTGACCGGCCCGATCCCGCCGGCGCTGTCCAACTCCCCCATTCTCGAGTGGGTCGACTTCGAGTCCAACTACCTCGCCGGCGAGCTGCCGTCGCAGGTGTTCGACAGGTTGTCGTGGCTCCAATACCTCTACCTCTCCTACAACAACCTCTCCAGCCACGACGGCAACACCAACCTGGCTCCCTTCTTCCGCTCGCTGAGAAACTGCACTCGCCTGCAGGAGCTCGAGCTCGCTGGGAACGGCCTCGGCGGCAAACTGCCGTCGTTCATCGACGAGCTCTTGCGCAGCTTCCGGCAGACCCACCTCGAGGACAACACCATCTCGGGCTCCATCCCGTCCAACATCTCCGGCCTCGTCAACCTGACGTACCTAAACCTCTCCAAAAACCTCATCAACGGCTCCATCCCGCCGGACTTCTGGCGCATGCAACGGCTCGAGCAGTTGTACCTCTCCAACAACCTCCTCTCCGGTGGGATCCCTCGGTCCATCAATGAGCTCCCGCACCTCGGCCTCCTCGACCTCTCCGGAAATCGCCTCGCCAGCGCCATCCCAAAACGTTCTTCAACCTCACGCAACTCAAGGGCTGATGCTCCACCACAACCGCCTTGCCGGTGCCATTCCACCGAGCCTCGGCGAGTGCAACAACCTCAAAATCCTCGACCTCTCCTACAATGGCCTCCAAGGCAAGATCCCAGCTTTCCCGAAATGATTGTGCACAAACATGAATTAATTCATTAAAATTACCCTAGACCAAACATCGAGGGCTGCTCAAATCATCATCGTTGTAGATGCTTGCATACGTCATGGTGTCCGGTGAGCTAGTTGTGCTGATTGGCTCGGAGGAGTATAAGGTTGTAAGTTGGTGCAGTTCCAAGCAGAGCATCGTGGCGGGATCTATATGCGAAGCGGAGTACATAGCTGCTTTGGAAGCAGCAAATGAAGGAGTCTGAATGAAGGAGTTCATATCCGATCTAGGTGTCATACCTAATGCATCGGGTCCAATGAAAATCTTTTGTGACAATACTGGTGCAATTGCCTTGGCAAAGGAATCCAGATTTCACAAGAGAACCAAGCACATCAAGAGACGCTTCAATTCCATCCGCGGTCAAGTCAAGGACGGAGACATAGAGATTTGCAAAATACATACGGATCTGAATGTTGCAGACCCGTTGACTAAGCCTCTCTCACGAGAAAAACATGATCAGCACCAAGACTCCATGGGTGTTAGAATCATTACAATGTAATCTAGATTATTGACTCTAGTGCAAATGGGAGACTTAAGGAAATATGCCCTAGAGGCAATAATAAAGTTGTTATTTATATTTCCTTATATCATGACGAATGTTTATTATTCAAGCTAGAATTGTATTAACCGGAAATTTAGTACATGCGTGAATACATAGACAAACAGAGTGTCACTAGTATGCCTCTACTTGACTTGCTCGTTAATCAAAAATGGTTAAGTTTCCTAACCATAGACATGAGTTGTCATTTGATAAATCGGATCAAATCATTAGAGAATGATGTGATTGACATGACCCATCTGTTAGCTTAGCACTATGATCGTTTAGTTTATTGCTATTGCTTTCTTCATGATTTATACATGTTCCTATGACTATGAGATTATGCAACTCCCGAATACCGGAGGAACACTTAGTGTGCTATCAAACATCACAACGTAACTGGATGATTATAAAGATGCTTTATAGGTGTCTCCGATGGTGTTTGTTGAGTTGGCATAGATTGAGATTAGGATTTGTCACTCTGATTGTCGCAGAAGTATCTCTGGGCCCTCTCGGTAATGCACATCACTATAAGTCTTGCAAGCAATGTGACAAATGAGTTAGTTGCGGGATGTTGCATTATGGAACGAGTAAAGAGACTTGCCGGTAACGAGATTGAACTAGGTATGATGATACCGACGGTAGAATCTCGGGCAAGTAACATAAACGATGACAAAGGGAACAACATACGTTGTTATGCAGTTTGACCGATATAGATCTTCGTAGAATATGTAGGAACCAATATGAGCATCCAGGTTCCGCTATTGGTTATTGACCGAAGATGAGTCTCAGTCATGTCTACATAGTTCTCAAACTCGTAGGGTCCGCACGCTTAATGTTCGACACTACTAGGAAAAGGCCTGTTAGTGGCGCACCTATTTTGGCCATCAATGGCGCATTATAGGTGTGCCACTATCATCACACCACTAGTAACAAGGGGTGCGCCATTAGTATACTAGATAATAGTGACGCACCACATAGTGTGCCATTACTATGTCCAACGGTGCGCCATTACTAACAATTTTTTTCTATTTTTTCAGAAAATATTTTTTCAAAAAAAAAATCATTTTTTTCTTAATCTTGAGTCACTATGGCTTAATCTCGGGTCAATATGCTTAATCTCAAGTCAAATCACACTTCATGGGGGTGCGCCATTAGTATACCAGATAATAGTGGTGCACCACATATCTGATGCGCCATTACTAACAAAAAAAATTCAATTTTTTTTCAGAAAATTTATTTTTTTCTTAATCTCAGGTCACTATGGCTTAATCTTGAGTCAATATGCTTAATCTCAAGTCAAATCACACTTCGTGGTCAAACTTTCCGGAAGGTCACCCATCCTCACACTACTCCAGCCCGAGCACGCTTAACTTCGCAGTTCTATCCAACCACAGCACCACCTCACTTAACAGGCACTTGTTGATATATCTATCATATCAATCCTATTAAACCTTGTTGTGTCTATGACTTTGTCCATGTTCATGAGTGTGATAAAATTTTGAAAAAATATTTCAAACTTCCCGGTCATGTTACGTTTCATATTTTGAACATTTTTTTAAAAGAAAAATCGAAACCAATTTTTTTTCTGTTACTAGTGGCGCACCTAGCAAATGATGCGCCATTACTAAGTTTGATTTTTTTTTCATTTTCTCCCCTCTAGATTTTAAAAGCCCCGTATATTTTGTTATGTTAGGTTTTTTGGGATTCTGAAAATCTTCAACAGGGTTTCCCTAGTTGAATTCGGATGTAACTTTTCGAGTAGATGATTTTTCATATAAAAAACTTTTTAATCCGAGTTCATATGCAAAAGTTATGCCAATTTTACTAAATTCTAGAGAGATTTTGCAAATAAAGTCGAAATTCATATTTGTAAATTTTTCCAACAACTAGACCACATATCGCATGGGAAACTTATTTTCTTTTATTTTTTTGACATTTCCATTATTTTCTTTTATTTTTCTAAAACTGAAAAGGCGGTCCACGAGGGGGTGCAAAGAAAGTTAGTAATGGCGCACCTTCACAAAGTGCGCCATTACTATGTGTTTGACTTGGTCAAACCTTAGTCAAAGTTAGTAATGGCGCAATTTGTGTAGGTGCGCCATTACTAAGTTTGACATAGTAATGGCGCACCTATGCAAAGTGCGTTATTACTAAGTTTGACCAAGGTTTGACTCAGTCATACACATAGTAATGGCGTACTTTGTACAGGTGCGCCATTACTATGTCAACTAGTAATGGCGCACTATCCCCTGGTGCGCCACTGCTAACAATTTTTTTTTATTTTTTTTCAAAACTAGTAATGGTGCACCACACACCAGGTGCGCCATTAGTAATATGTCAATAATGGCGTACATGTATTTGGTGCGCCACTGCTATATAAATTGAGACATAAAGATTGATATATTGGAAGGTTATGTTTGGACACCGGAAAGGTTACAGATAAGTTCGGGTATTTTCCGGAGTACCGGGGGGTTACCGGAACCCCCTGGGGGGTTAATGGGCCTTCATGGGCTTTAGTGGAAGAGAGGAGGAGGCGGCCAAGTGGCGGGGCGCCCCCCCCCCCAAGCCCAATCCGAATTGGGGAGGGGGCAGCCCTCCTTTCCTTCTCTCCCTCTTCCCTTTCCTTCCCCTCCTAGTTGGACTAGGAAAGGGGGGAACCTACTCCTAGTAGGAGTAGGATTCCCCCCCCCCTTGGGGTGCACCCCATGAGGCCGACCGGCCCCCTCCTCCACTCCTTTATATAAGG